GCCAACGGTTCTCGACATGTTCTTTGCATCAATGCCATGCGCCCCGGCCATTTGCCAATGGCGTCCAAAATTGCGCTGACTGCATCCTGTCCCAATCACCCCACATGTCCCCCCTCACCGGCCCTTCCCAACCAAGCCTGTTCAGCCCTGTGCACTAGCTCTCTCGCGTCGTCGCTACCACCACCCACCCGCACCGGTCCACGCGCGCGCGCCAGTCTCTGCCGCGCCCGGCGGGACGGAGGCGGCGCCTCGCTGCCGTCCTCACGGGCTGGTTCGTGACGCCCTCTATCGGCGCCGATTGCGGTCCAGCGCCGCCGTGGGAGCCGCCGGGACAAAGCCCGCCGCCGCCTATTACCGGCGCGGTGTTTGTCTTTCACACGATCGGCGAGGGATGCGCCATCTCCTGAATCGGGAGTGCCCCGCCGGCGGCGGCAGCTGGCGCGCGGCAATGGCGGCCGTCGCTGTCCTCGCCGCCAGCGCAAACAGCGGGGAGACAGGCCTCCGTGGCCGCGGCGCTGGGACCGCTGGTGAGAGCGTGATCTGTGTCGAGTGTTGTCACGAATCCTGTGGCGCTTCCTCAAACGATGAACCAGGTGGTGTGCACAATGCTCCACCAGCCTGTGTGCTGTGTCTGTGTGCATAGCAAAGGCAGCTCGCACAGGTACGTACGTCCCCGCCAAACTCGTTGCAGCCTGATGCGATGAGCTGATTACGCAAATGATCGCTCGGCTTTGACTTGTTTGCGGCTTTCATCACCAGCACCACCCCGCATCGCGCGCGGCGCTTCCGCCGTCCCCATTACACAGATTGTCACACGTTCCCACAGTTGTTCTGCGTCATCGCCCCCCGCCGCCGGGTGATCAGCAGCCGGGTACAAAGGTCGGGGGCGGGGGTGCACACTGCCCGCCGTCCCAGGTGGGCTGAGGCGCGCCCGCGGCCCGCCTCCCGGATTACCCAGATGCGCAGGGAACAGTCAGCGCGCCCGGCGGCACGCGCTGGACGCGGTGACGTCACATTGGCAGCGCTCCAACTCATGACCGCCCAGGCCGACGGTCAGGATGAGTGTGGGTGGGGGCGGTGGGCTTCCGCGAAGCGGAATCAGCAAGCGAGCCGTGAGTTCTTAGCCAGGTGGGGAGCATGTCTTTGAGATGGTGATTTGCTTCCGCCAGGGGCTTTACTCGGAAGGCCTTCCTCCTGATCACAAGTTCCTGGACGTTTTCGGGTGTTGGGGCGAAGACGATACAATGCTGGTAGGTAGGGAGACGGGATACTGACAGTGTTTGGGCTGTTGAAACCCTGAATGGCATGCATGCGCGACTAGAATGAGGTTGTAATTACCAGGGTCTTGAACTGATCGGGGATGAGCCCCAGTAGGTCTCTCATCCCCTGCCCTCCCTCACGCTAACCCTGCATCCCTCACGCTAACTCGCATGCCTCACCGCAACCCCTGCATGCCTCACGCCAACCCCTGCATCCCGGCTGTTGTACCAGACCCGCGCTGCTAGGCCTTTCCCATTGATTAGACGACGAAACTGAACGTAATTATCCGACTGTATTCATTGGTCGGGCCTGGTACACTGCCGACGCAACCAGACTGCCTGACCTCCTCCCCGACACCCTGCACTGCCAGACTGCGTGACCTCCTTTCCGACACCCTGCAGTGCCAGACTGCCTGACCTCCTTTCCGACACCCTGCAGTGCCAGACTGCCTGACCTCCTCCCCGACACCCTGCACTGCCAGACTGCGTGACCTCCTTTCCGACACCCTGCAGTGCCAGACTGCCTGACCTCCTTTCCGACACCCTGCAGTGCCAGACTGCCTGACCTCCTTTCCGACACCCTGCAGTGCCAGACTGCCTGACCTCCTCCCCGACACCCTGCAGTGCAGACCGCCTGACCTCCTCCCCGACACCCCTGCAGTGCCAGACTGCCTGACCTCCTCCCCGACACCCCTGCAGTGCCAGACTGCCTGACCTCCTCCCCGACACCCTGCAGTGCCAGACTGCCTGACCTCCTCCTCGACACCCCTGTAGCTCCAGACCGCTTGACCTCCTCCTCGACACTCCGCAGTCAGCAGTGTTGGACTAAGGCTCAACCATGCTCAAACTTAGGCTGGAGCTTAGCACTTCAGACTCCGTTCGAGCATCGGTGTCTTCACTCAGACGTGTTCAAACACATGGTGATGTGTCATATTTCAGCCAACTTTTAGCACCGGTCTGGCCAACATTATTGGATAGGGTGCCTGCGAGCAGTGTGTGTGTGGGCGGGGGGGGGGGGGGCACTCTAGTGGCACTGCCGGGGTGTGAGACCGACCAATAAATCCAGCTGTATCATTATTTCCACCGTTAATATGTGCCGTGTGGTGGCTCCAATTTTACGATCGGCTTCCAACACCTGTCTGGACTGGTGTGGCAACTGACGCCCCAGGCTGTGGGCAATTAACACCGATGGCGCGTGATACCCCCCCCCCCCACCCCACCCCCTCCATCTACGCACATACAGCTTGCTCCCGAGCCCGGCAGTTACCGGCAGTATCGTTTTCAGGGAGAGGTTGAGTGCTGATAGCCATCTAAGGCGGACGTTGCATTGATGAGTGCCGCACATTATTATTTTTGTTTTCGATCTCCAACCCCCTATTTGTAAGGTTCAGGCCTACTTGCCACTTGTGAACTGTAGGAGTTGATCGGAAGAAGTTTGTCCATGCTGAACCGCCCATTCGCTGCCCACTTCACCACGTAAAAATGGATGGACAAGATACAAGAGGCTTGAAAAGGACGCCCTCAGGGATCGGCCCGTCGATCGGTCGCGTCATGGCCGCAAGTACATCAATTTTACAGAGCGACCATCTTCCAGCCTCCAGGGGTCAATGTCACTAGGGAGCTCCTCCCTATCCCGGAGCCCTCAGAGAGTTCCCCTCCGTTCGAGCGCCCGCTTCAGGCCTCACCTTCTCTCTCCGGTTTGGCGTCGTCGTCGGACTTGCCGACCTCCGCGTCCGAGTCGCCGTCGTCGTCGTCGGTTCGGTTTCGCGGCTCCCAGGTCATCTTGTTCTCCTTCTTCAACCGCCGACGGGCGTTGGCGAACCACGTGGAGACCTGCGTCAGCGTCATCTTGGTGATGATGGCCAGCATGATCTTCTCGCCCTTGGTCGGGTACGGGTTCTTCTTGTGCTCGTTCAGCCATGCCTTCAGGGTTGATGTCGTTTCCCGTGTGGCGTTCTTCCTCCTGGACCCGTCCAAACCAAACCCGTACCTGGGAATCGGAGCCATCTGTTAGCGCCGCCGTCAAAAGTGCCAAAGATGGCCGCAGATTGAACAGGTTTTACGGCGCGGCTGTTTCCGGTACAGCAGGCGGGAGGGGTTGTGGGTCAGGTGGCGGATCCCATCTCCATCCCAGATCACGCATTTATCCAACTCATAAAAGTGACATTAATCCAGAAACTTTAATAAAGCTGGTACGGTATGATGTGAGCGGCTTCGGTGCCGTCATACGCTGTCTGGGAAATATCCGTTGGACTTTTGTAAATCTGCCTACTTTTCACCCGACATCTCGCGCCGAGATTGTCCCAATCTTCTGCCTTATCAAAACAACTTGCCGCGCCGGCTCATTTTAATAATGCCAGTCGGCCATAATCTTATTTTGATTCCGGTATAATCATCTTAGCTCACTCCTTGAAGGCGCGAATTCATTTTTCTCATACAAATTTTTCACGCGTGCTGCATAAATTGTCTGCTCGTCTGTATTTCCAAGCCAGGGGAAATGGAAAGTTCTTTGTGGGATATTACCGCTTGTGATGGCAGGAAAGGGCGTTGAAATTAAAAACCTGTTCAGAAGCCATGAAAGCACTGCCAAGTAAAGTTGTATCAAAGGCTTGGCAGATGAAAGACAACGGAATGGCTTTAACTGTAGTTCGGGGCCAATTCAAACTTTGCGGCCCAAGTGAAGTGTTTTGAGCACTCTTAGAACGAAAAGTCTTGGGGTCGCGTCAACTTAATGAAAGAGTGAAATGACTAGCATTTCTGCAGTAGCATTAGCTGTAGATTGGCAATGTCTTTTAAACGCATTTGAACGCAGCTGGCGGAGCGGCAAAAGGGAACTCTCAAACTCGGATCGTCGGAAACATTCCAGACCGATACCGACACGTGACAGGAGTTATGCGCTGGTTCCACAGTCAAAGACTACGCTTTGACATAACAGGTCATGGGGTAGTTGGCTATGAAATGATCTAGTTTCTGTTTACGTCCATGTCATTTCGATGCGTTGCGGAAATGTGCCGGGCGCCAGCGAAACGATTTATTTAATCATGTGTGTGTGTGTGTGTGTGTGTGTGTGTGTGTGTGTGTGTGTGTGTGTGTGTGTGTGTGGTGTGTGTGTGTGTGTGTGTGTGTGTGTGTGTGTGTGTGTGTGTGTGTGTGTGTGTGTGTGTGTGTGTGTGTGTGTGTGTGGTGTGTGTGTGTGGTGTGTGTGTGTGTGTGTGTGTGTGTGTGTGTGTGTGTGTGTGTGTGTGTGTGTGTGTGTGTGTGTGTGTGTGTGTGTGTGTGTGTGTGTGTGTGTGTGTGTGTGTGTGTGTGTGTGTGTGTGTGTGTGTGTGTGTGTGTGTGGTGTGTGTGTGTGTGTGTGTGTGTGTGTGTGTGTGTGTGTGTGTGTGTGTGTGTGTGTGTGTGTGTGTGTGTGTTGTGTGTGTGTGTCTGTGTGTGTGTGTATGTGTGTGTTCAGTGGCAGACGTCTTTCCCCAGACGGAGCCCATACGATGCAGTCTGACCCTACACGCCGTCTTGTCCCTTGTCCCCAGCCAGTGATCGCCACGTTCGACCACCCGTTTGAGCAGCCCCCTCCCCCTTTCCGTTCAGCGTGTGACGCGTCTCTGGTCGCATCACTGGTGACTCAGACGCGTCCCTCGGAAGAGTGAGTCACCACGCCGCACCTTGTTCTCGAGACACATCACTGCATGCCCCAACATCTCGCCACTGTTGGAGATGGTAATACACCAGACTGGCGAGCTCCCGTAGCCCACATTACGCCCGCCTGGCCGCTGGTATCCGCATGGGCATCGCCGACATTCTTGGGCTTAGCATCGGGCCCTCCGTGTGCGGCAGCAGCGCTTGCATGCCATTAGATCACCAAACTGGTTCTTGGCTTGAACAAATTTGCATATGTTTTGATCCTGTTGAGGCACTAGCTTGATATACCACAGATCGTTGTTGAGAGTACATCCTACATGCTTAATTACTGACTTCACGTGCCTAATTAATGATCTGTATGGCTGATATCATTCCCTCCTCCAATGTACTGGTTCGGGCTACACTGACGCTTCATTGCTCGATGTGGGGCTCTGCTCGCAGCTTCTCGTGGGGCGCGGGACCCCTCAACGCACCCCGCGCGCGGGGACGCTTGTGACGCACCGGTTGACACCAACTGGCGCACACCGCGCCGCTATGGCCGCGTGGGTTGCGGCGCCCGACGTCCCCCCCCCCCCCAATTAGCGTCAATGCGGGCGTGCATCATGCAAGGCTGGTGCTGCTTGTGTGTGACGGTATAAATAACAATCAACAAGGCCGACTGGGTGGCGCTCTGAGAGCGGACGCCATTACGCCGCGCCGCGAATGCCGCGCACTCGGCCGTGCGCCGCGTAAGCCGCGCCCGCCGACACACTGAGGGGGTAGGGGGGGGGGGGCGGAGGGGGCGCTTCTGCGGTTCTGGAAGCCGGAGGCGATACGCAAACGGGACGGGCTAAGTGGACAGTGATTGCGAGGCGTTGGGGACGGGCGGACTATTTTCGTGGAAGTTTTAAATAGCGGGTAGAGCTTAATAGAATTTCTCACCTGCCCGCGCTACCACACAATTGCATAGTAAAAAAGGGTCGCTTGTGTTCGCACAGTTAAAATTATGGGCTTTATGGGAGAGAAACGTCTAAGATTAGTCGCCAGTTTGGTTGCAAAGTTGTTCGAAACCGTCTTTATATGTGTCGCTCATTCGGGTACTAACGCGACATTCCTATATTTACGTCTGCCCCTATAAACAGACACAACCAGCACAACGCAGCTCCATGCCCATTCGCCCACCAATCCCCAGGGGCTGCCGCGCTCTATTTCCTTTGGTGCGCTCGGCATCGCCGATGGCCGGGCGCCGGCCGCTCAGCGTCGCCGATGGCCGGACAGCCGGCTGCTTGGCATCGCCGATGGCCGAGCACCGGGCACTTGGCGTCGCCGATGGCCGGGCGCCGGCCGCTTGACGTCGCCGATGGCCAGGCGCCGGCCGCTCGGCGTCGCCGATGGCCAGGCGCCGGCCGCTCGGCCTCGCCAATGGCCGGGCGCCGGCCGCTCGGCGTCACCGATGGCCGGCGCCGGCCGCTCGGCGTCGCCGATGGCCGGGCGCCTGCCGCTCGGCGTCGCCGATGGCCGGGCGCCGGCCGCTCGGCCTCGCCAATGGCCGGGCTGCCGGCCGCTCCTGGCCCGCGATCGTATCGGCACCAGCGCTGTGCACCACGGCAGGCCTGCTCGCGCCGCCTGCGATGACACCGCGATATGTCCCCGGGCCGGTGTCATACACGCGATTTTGCGCCACGAGCAGGCCGGACGCGTCAGGACCGTGCCGAGCGCGCGGGTCGTGCGGGAGCCACCCGCTCCCGAACGCTGGCATTTAGGCGGCTGCCGACACGGCCTCAACGGTTCTATTGCTGTAGCGGATGAGGAAATCGCTGTTTTGCAGTTGGGAGGTGTCGTGACCGAGGATAAGTGGTGCGTGAACTGCGTCACCTTGCCGAGCCCACCCAATCTCAGAGTCATCTCGATGCCGTGCGATGACGTCTTCGTCAGTGCGATGCATAAAAGCCCGCTGAGACGGCAGTGAAAAACGGCTGCCATTTGTCGGACTGCATAAACGGAGACGTTTTGAGCTTCGGGTGAGCGCTTGCAGTGATTGCTAACGTGCAAATATGGATGGAAGGATGGATGGCGGGCGATATGGACGCAAAACACTGCTTCGTCCCAAGTGACATGTCTCCGGCCTGTGTGTGTGACAGGAATGTGGCTATACGACGTGACACTCCATCAAAGACAGGCCTGCACGTGCTTTCACCAAACCGAGGCCGATCCGGCACACCGAGAGTTTAGGACTCGAGTCAGGGGCGAGCCAGCTGGGACGTTAGTGGAGCCCGAAGTGACGTCACAATTGTGATACAGAACCCGAAGTGACGTCACAATTGTGATACAGAATAGAAGAATATCTATTGAAATCTGCGCCGAAGGGTACCGATGGTGTAGAGACTAGTTGCGCGACTGGTAAGCCAGAAGTGCGGGGTTCGATTCCCCGCGGTTCTCGCCCTTGTTGCCGGAGTGAGAGTTAGGCGACGCCATATGGCCTCAACAGGTGAGTGCGTCGTAAATTCGCCCCAACATTGGATCCGTGGCACAGGTCAACCTCATTCTACGCCCGGTACGCGCCACTAAACCCATCTGAGTCACAGGCTTCTGCTAACGGTCGCTCACCACTTGGTTTTTCCTACACGTAAAGCTATGGGTCTCCCTCCCGCGTAAGATCGCAACACAGTCCACCACAAACCGGCACAGCCGGAGCCCCGCAGACCAGCGGCCCAGCGGCCACTCCGAGGCGGCCCCCTCCCGCGTAAGATCGCAACACCGCCCACCGCAAACCAGCACGGCCGGAGCCTCGCAGACCAGCGGGCAAGCGGCCACTCCGAGGCGGCCCCCTCCCTCGTAAGATCACAACACGGTCCAGCACAAACCAGCACAGCCGGAGCCCCGCGGACCAGCGGGCAAGCGCCCACTCCGAGGCGGCCCCCTCCCTCGTAAGATCGCAACACCGCCCACCGCAAACCAGCACAGCCGGAGCCTCGCAGGCCAGCGGGCCAGCGGCCACCCCGAGGCGGTAGTCCTCTGCGTACTCACCCTGCGGGCAGCCCGTAGGGCGAGAGGCCCGACTCGCCGTACGGGTAGTAGAGGCCGTAAGGCCAGGCTGGCGTGCCGAGCGGAGGCGCCAGCGGCACGGCGCCCTCCTTGCCCTGGGGGAGGGCAAGCACGGCGTCAGGACGTGCAGGCGAGCTGGCCGCTGGACAGCGGCGAGCGCGCCGACAAATGGACTCGAAGACGGAAAGGTGATGCCCTTACTTTCTCGTGCGATCTGTTGAGCATTTGTAGACTTCCGTTGTGTCAGTGACTTAGGACCATATACAGCTCTTACACACTTTCTACGTTCTTATTGACATGGTGGCATTTTGTCTTAACTAGGTAGTGTCATATATGTTAGCCCTCCCCACTCTTACATGACCTGCACTGTGGTTCAAAAAAGGTTTTCCCGGCATTTTATAGCAGCTTTATTCATGCTTGGGATGTTTCTCAAGCCCAATGTTGGATGCAGCTCTGCCTAATGATGGGGTTCAATGACACACAAGGGCGGAGCTTCGAAAATGTATTCGGCAAGCATGACTTGTCTTCTGAAAACCGTGTTTAATTGCTTTGGTGCCTTTTGGGCTAATATGAGCACAAAACAAATGGAGCCAGGCAAAAGATAGAGACAAGGCCCCCAAAGATGTACAAAGCTCCATTCACGATCGCAAACAAATTGAAGGCTACCTGACTGATACCAATACCGCCGAAGACAACCAGGCGTTTCAAAACACAAGCGTCCCCATCAGCTGCCAAATCGTTTGACCCGGGTCGGCCGTACGCCTGCCCCTCCGTCTTCCCACTGTCGCCCCTGTGTCGCCGTTTGTCTCGCCCTGTGTCGCCGCGTGGGCGCCCGTGTCGTCGCCGTCTGTCCACCCCTGTGTCGAGAGGCTCCGTGTTTCTCAGCCACTTAATGCCGGCTCCCGTGGCGCCGTTAATCTCACCAGGCTGCGCCGCGTGTCTGACGCACACTGCATGCGCCGCGGTTATCGTGATGAAGTAGCGCACGTGGAACCAGAGGTTCACTCGGCCCGTCGCTGAAGACGTGGGACCACCTGTCACATGCTGCCTCGGTTGCCAGATGTGGGCCGGTGTTTGGTGCCCATCTGCATTGGCAGCGTTCGGACTGTGCCTGAGGTGGTGGCTCCCACGGCTTTGGTGACTTTTGGGCCAATATGAGCACAAAACATAAGCACAAGACTGCCTGCCTCTGGATCGGCGGGGAATTTTGAAATTACCGCTCCTAATCGCTTTGATTGTTTTGGCAACGGCAAATAGTCGAAATTTTAAAGCATCTGTTTCCCCAATCTCCTGGTTATGTTATTTGACAGCACTGTCTTATCTATATGCATACTGCTCCTCGCAAACGCACTCAACAATTTACGTGGATAGGGATATATATGATATGTCCTGTGCATTCATGACGTTCTCACCGCCTGTGGCATCTGCAGTATTAGTTCCATCCGGAACTGATGGTGTTTGTAAACCTGCAGTGTCAATGATGTCTCCAGCGTGCGTTGCGTCTAGCGTACCAACATCTGCCGCAATGTCTTCGGCATTCCCAGTTTCAACATCGCCTATGGCGTCACCGGCGGCAGCAGCACCAAACGCGGTGCACAGCGCCGCAGCGTCCATACCGCCCCAGTCTCCCGTCGCCCCCGCTCCACTGACCGGTGCTGCGGCCGCCTGGCCCTGGAGCGCCTGCAGGTAGGCCGAATCGCAGCCGTACATGAGCGGCAGGCCAGACGCCAGCCGCTGGTACGCCAGCAGGTGGCTTGGGCGCGCCGTACTGGCACGAGCAGACGGCGTGCCCCGACACCGGGTCCGTGTACAGCACGCGGCCCGTGTCGCAGCACTTCTGGCCCGGCGACGCGGCCGTCAACGGCGAGGACGTGGCCAGTGGCGCCGCCAGGTGCTGCCGAAGGGGGGGGGGGGGGCGTTAGACGTGTGGCGAGCTGGGCAGCGGCAGAGCCAGCTGGTGGGAAAGGGAACACCAGTCGTCAGGCGACAGACAGACATTACTGCTATACGCTGAGCTATAGTGAACACTTCGGTTGGATTATGATCCACATGAACTCCATGATCGACATACATCACACTGGCGAGAGCCCACCCAGGCTGTGGAGGCCGGAGCGAAAGGCAACCACAGCTGGCCGATATTAGCGACAAGCAGAGAACTGTCGAAGGGCAGACCAGAAGCTACTACTTCGACCATCCGCCGCAGCCGCAACCGATGGCGACGGTCGCGACTACATCCGTCGTGCTCAGCCGGTCACGCCGCCAACCGTGACTCACGACCGGTCGCCGTGAGGGAGGACGCGTGAGTCACGAATGCAGGCCTCCGAGTACACACCAAAGCCGACGAGCAGGACATGCAGTCAGCGCCCACCGTCACACCGCCGGATTTATAAGACATGGAATGCCATAATGTCAGCTCCGCGGAATTGATAAGAATGCGACCCCTGCAAAGTGCTAGGCCATTCGCATGCTCAGTCATAAATCAAGAACGTAGCGGATTACGGCATGGCGACATCCTTAAGCGGGACCGCACCGCCGTCGCGGGGCTTGCTGAAAGGGCCGGCCACATATCAGCATCGTAAAATTTGGGATGTTAACACATGACAGCTCACAGGCTTTTACTGCTTGGAAACATGCAGCACCCTCATGCTTTTAGGGAGATTATCAAACAATACTGCCTCCGCCCGGTGTTCACAAAGGATTTTTTTCGTGAAGCGCCGAATATTACATACCAAGCAAGCTTCAGGGCAGCAACATTGCATCAAAAGAACACGAAAGTCCTTGTCCCGGCTGTATTTGCGACGACAGCCGAGACTTGAACGGTTGTTCTTTGCTGCTGTGATCGGTTTGGTCCGATGTTCAGTTCATTTCACCGCTTAGTTTCGTCAGTAAAAATACAGAACCTCGTGCTTCATGGCCGTGAAAACGTGGACGGCGGATGATGGTAGCGCTGCGAACGCGGCCAGCAGCGCCACCGGCAGGCCCAGTGACATAACCCCGTGTTCATCGCAATCCAAGGCTGCACCCGGCGGGACTGACAGCCCAGTCTGCCTCAGCGCAGGCCGCCTATTATTCTCTGATACAGATCAGGGCCAAAAACCCACCCGGACACCTGTGAAACGGGATACCAGTCACCCAAAACGACAAGGTCAAGACCATATCACACAGATCAGCCAGCGCACCGAGCCAGGACAGCACGAGCCTCAGCAGGTGGGCCGGCGCCGCCTCCCCGAGACCCTCCGCGGCTGTCCAGCCGCCCGTCCCCACCCCAGCCGGACGGTCGGAAATCCCGGCCTCGCCGCCGCCTCCTCTCATTCATGACGCGGCGCGGTCCGCACCGCCGACACGTGCAGCCCGATGACGCCCGGCCAGGACATGAATATGCGACGGCGCAGCCGGCCTGGGAAACCGCGGCGGGGGCGACGGCGCGCGCCGCGGGCCCCGGCCTCGACTGATGGATGACCCGGCTGAACACGTCGCGGCCGGTTGGCGCGCGGCGGGTACACGGGCCTGCCGGGCGCGCCGGCGGCCGCGTATGCCGGGGAGACGGTGCGCGGCCGGCCCGCCACCGGCCGCCCGCGCGGCCGAGTCCGTCAGCCGGTGACTCAGGGAATACTCAGCTACTTTCGGACTATTCCTGCACGTTCACTTCATGGCTAACGCGGAATGAAGCCGCAGAAAAGTGCCAGCTGGAGCCCAGGAGTACGCAGCTGCGCTGCTGGGGGTGAGGTGGCGAAGTAGCTCCTGAATGGTAGCGCCGTCACGGACCTGACGGCGCGCAGATCGTTCCGGCCTACCGGACCGGCCGTTCCGGACCGCCGGGCCGACTCGCACCGGAACGGGTGTTGCGCGGACCGGTCCAGTCGGGACCGGACCGGGCTGAACCGGGTCGGGTCAGGTCGGATCGGATCGGGCCGGGTCGGGTCGGGTCGGGTCGGGCCGAGCCTGGCCGGGTCGGGCCGAGCTGGGTCGGGTTGGGTTGAGCCGGGTCGGGTCGGGTCAGGTCGGGTCGGGTCGGTCGGGTCGGGTCGGGCCGGGTCGGGCCGGGTCGGGTCGGCTCGGGCCGAGACGGGTCGGTTTGGGTCGGGCCGGGTTGGGTCGGGTCGGGCAGGCCCCCAGGCTGAGGCGTCGTATGCAGATAGGCTGTTTGTTTTCCGGCCGTGTTGACACCAGTGACAGGGGTGGTTGGCTGGCACCGGGCAGGGCGCTCAGGGCTCCGTCAGGCCCGGGATCAGCTCCGAGTGCAGCTGTTTAAAGGCGGAGTCGGAGGTTGACTGCGATTAGCGATGAGGGTGGCGCTCAGAGTACGCTGTGAGAGCAAGAACACAAGGGAAAGGAGACCCCTGCCTCAACGCAGGCTGTGTGAAGGATTTAAAACGGACCATTGCTACAGTTGACCCGATTGATTAAGAAAACGGCAAAGCATGCATGCGCAATGAAGGTTGACTTCGAGGCATTTTAACCCGTTGGCTTACTTAGATTTATATCCAGCAAATAAAACTGGCGGTGGATCTTTGCACTCGTTGCATTAGTTGACTCCTTAGCATTTTCACAAGGTCCGTCAAAGGGAGCGAATCAAGTATTACATGCTTTTGTAATACACCTGTTGTTTCTAAGTCCACCGACCAACACATGTTTTCCAAAAGTAATGTCAAATTTGTTATAGTTAACGCCTCGGATTTATCGGCTGGAGCATACAACTCTCCATGCATTATTCAGGCAGTCTTTCTAACAAGCTCTGCCTCCTCACCGCACGTTCGCCGCATGTCTCACCTGGTAGCGAACAATGCTTGCTTAACATGGCCGAGCTGGATTACACAGAAGCAGCACATTTCAAAACTCCCAATACCAGTTCCCCGTCTGAACAATCTACACCGATAACATCAACGAATGCATTACAGCCGGCTCCGAAACCTACATCCGCCAACGCCGACCCGAGAGCCCCGGCGTGCAGCCTGCCGCACCCCGCACCCCGTCTGCACCCGCACCACGACCGCACCCCGGACCACGACTGCACCTGCACCACGACTGCACCTCGGACCATGACGCACACCGGACCACGATTGCACACCGGACCACAACTGCATCTCGGACCACGACTGCACCTGCGCTACGACTGCACCTCGGACCACGACTGCACACCGGACTACGATTGCACACCGCACCACAACTGCACTCCGGATCACGACTGCACCCCAGACCACGACCGCACCCGGGACTGCGGCACCCCGCGAGTCAGGCGGTCCGCGAGACCACCATCCTGGACCCGGCTGGGGGAGAGGTTCCGCCGCCGCCGCCGCCGCCGCCTCGACACAAGAGACGTGACCACCACACCCCACCCGACCTCGTAAAGATGGCTGGGATATCACGACAAATTAAGGATCGCGGCCCTGGCTGCATCGCGGCCGGCGCAGATGTTACTGTGCACAGACACTGCACGAACAGTGCACGTGAGGCGGGGGGAGGGGGCTGTGACAGTACATGGACAGCGGAATGCTCGGACCCGACGGATGGTGCGGTGGAAGGGGAGGGGCGATGGACAAATCCGTGATGTTGTGCGCTGTACGCGATTTTTGTTGTCGAAAACCGGATCCCAGCCGTGAAACGTCAGTCAAGCTTTCCTCTGGTAGCTCGGTACGATCGGCTTGTAACACGGACAACGGTAGTGCAGACGGGAGGGGGAGGGGAGGGGGTGGTGGTGGCGACTGCTCTTAGGAAAATGTAATAATAACGACATAGCGTTGCATACAAATGAACGGTCAGGATCGCAGTCAATGCGTCCCTCACCAACACCTCAAAGGAATCCCCTCACTGATCTGTGTGCGTTTATCTTGGTAGGTTTATCTTGGTACCTGAATTAATTGATGATTGATCGTCATCAAATCCTAATCAGGTGTTGATCTTATTCGTCGGGTCCCCGTAAGATCTCAGCCAGGCGACATGGACTCCCACCGGTCACACCACACTCAAATCTGGCACCAGATTCTCAGCACGCCTTCCTCAGCTCTCAGCGAGTTTGGGCAAGATCATAGCTAGCCCAGATCGAGGCGCGAACCCCGCCCCCCGGGTCCACACTCGCCCGCCACCCCCTGCTGGGTACTCACCGGTCCGGGAGAGGCGGTGCTGAGCGCGAACTGCGACATGTTGGCGGCGCGCGGCGGCGGCTCGCTCGCGGCCCCTGGCGCGGCGCGCGCGGCGGCTCGGCGTCTCGCGGGCGGGCGCGCGCCTCGACTGCCGACCCGGTGGCTCGTCCCGCTCCGCTCCGCCCGCCGGCCGGCCGGTCTCGACTCGTGCAGAGACGCCCTCGCCTCGCCCGTCGGCCGTGCGCTCCTGTCCGTGCCGCCGCCAGCCAGGTACTGCCCCGCACTGCCCTGTCGCCGCGCCCGCGCCGAAAAACGCGTTTGCACCTCAATTGATTATGATTTCAGCCGAGTTTTCCGGCGCAGAGGCTCCGCCCACCTGGCGGCGCGCGCTAAACGCACCAATCAGCGGCGGCGTCGGCGGCCGGCGGACAGCGGCATTTTTGTTCGGGCGCGGTGTTCGACAAGAGGACGAGACCGGGGCAAATCGGCGGCAGCGGGGCGCCCCCCGGCGGTGGCGGCCGGCGGAGAGGGAGGGACGCGCCCGCCAGGTATTGATTTGGCAAGGCTGATGCATGCAAAGCGAACGCCACGTGCAAAGCCGCTAGGCGTCGTCGGGATGGGAGGCGGGAAAAAGCTGATCGAGATAGGGGTGACGATGTTGTGAGAGGAGGG